AGGCCACCACCCTGGGGCTCAGGGAGGCAGGAGAACATTTCCCCCCCCCCATGGGCGTCGCAGGTGCCGCTGAGAACAGCAGCGGCTGCCATAACTTTTTAAAGAGCCCCTAAGGAGAGCTGGGGGAGCCAGAATGACCTCTCGCATGTGATGTCTGAGCTGCAAGTCCAAGGCCACTACCCTGGGGCTCAGGGAGGCAACGTTTCGCCCCGTGCCCCCTGTGCGGGCGTCGCAGCTGCCATCGAGAACAGCAGCGGTGGCCATAAGTTTTTAAAGAGCCCCTAACGAGAGCTGGGAGAGCCAGAATGACCTCTCGCATGTGATGTCCACTCGGACATCACACACGAGAGGTGGAATTTGCCCCTACAAGTCCAAGGCCACCACCCCGGGGCTCAGGGAGGCAGGGGAACGTTTCGCCCCGCCCCCCCACCGTGTCCCAACTGATGGCTGGTGGGAGCAGGGGGCGGTGTTCCGGTGCGCTCCGGCAGGAACCGAGGCCTGGCTATAAAACCCCAAGGGGATGACATGGTTGGAACATAGCTGGGTTTGTTTTTCCCTCTCTTTGCCTATTGCATGTGCATTGGCGGTAGGGCCTTTGTGGGTTTTACAATATGAGTTAAGTTGGTGCTTTTGGTAGCATTTGGGTGACTTTGTGGGGCAATTCTTAAGTAACATCCCCTTTCTCTGTTTTTTTTAAAGGGTTGGTGCTTGGCTGTTTGATAGGTGGTATTTTTTGTTCTGAGTCTCCAGGTTTCCCAGGTAATCAGTCTTGCTGTTCTGACAGTGGTGAGACCCTTTCCATGTAAATACTCGTGAATGACAGTTGTCTGGAGTCCTAATGAGCTTTGTGGGCTAGCTTCTTTTGCTAGTGTGAAGTGAGCGTTTCCCATTTTTCAAGTATTTACAGACATGCTGCAATTTTTAATTACTTCACTGGTAACACACTTCAGCTTTATTGTTTTGGTAGGCTTCTAAAACTGTGTCAAACACTGGAATGTGTGGAAATTGCTAGTTCTAGGGGGAGATGTAACAGGGGCTTTGATAGGCAGTATCTTAGTAGCCTTAATAGCTGTCAATTATGTTCCATTTTGCCCTTCTTTAAAGAACCTTAGGCTGTGCTCTCAAAATAATCCTGAAAGGTAGGTTATTCAGGGTGATAGTAGGTGTCATGGTAGGAAAGAATACTTGAACATCCCTGGTCCTATGCTAATAGTACTCATTGCTAGCTATCAGTAACTTCCTAGAATCCATGAAATAAATGATGATTTATGTTGTCTGTTTCTTCTTGACCTGTTCTTCGGGAAGTATAGGTGTGGTCCTGTTTTCAACTCTAGCTCTATCAGCAGCGGCTGCCATAACGTTTTAAAGAGCCCCTAAGGAGTTCTGAATGCAATAGTATCACAGTTGTGAGTTCTGAATGCGATAGTATCTGAAACTGTTTCCTTGGATAGGAGCTATTTTGGCCTTTCAGAAGGGTGCCAAAGCAGCTGGCTTTCATTTTAGGAATTATGTTAGCTGCAGCAGGTTCTCTTAGCAGAATAAACTTTAAATTACCTTAAAATGCTTACACAGGCAACTGTGAATCAGAATCACAGAGTTGGAAGGGTAGGGTCCATACAGGCCATCTAGTCCAACCCCCTGCTCAGTGCAGGATCAGCCTAGAGCATCCCTGACAAGGGTTTTGTCCAGCCGCTGCTTAAAGACTGCCAGTGAGGGGGAGCTTACCACCTCCCTAAGCAGCTGCCGTTCGTTTCGAGAACAATCTTTATCAAACTTCAATTTCCAGTGGTCCTTTCACAGTCTAATTCACCACTAAGGTGATTTTCACTACTGTCCATAGGGAAATAATAATGGTTGGTGATAAGAGCTGTTAGAAGCCTTCCTGAATGTTTGGATACCTTAGTGGTGAATTAGACTGTGAAAGGACCACTGGAAATTGAAGTTTGATAAAGATTGTTCTCGAAACGAACGGCAAAACTCGAGAAGTTCGTCCCGTT